GCCAGAGGCAGGCTGGCCTCAGGCCTCCTCGAGCTCTGATTCATTGTCCGATTCATTGTTGGCACTCACAATTTATTGTTTGTTGTATTGTGTATTGTTTTATTTTTTCCTTTCTGGTTCATTGTTGGCACTCATAATTTATTGTTTGTTGTATTGTGTAGATGGAGGTGAACAACGACGCCATGGACTCGTTGTCCGATTCGTCGGGTTGGTCGTCATCCGACGATCCGGACATCAACGAGTTGTTGCAAGACGACGGTGTCGAGATGATGAGCCTACTCATCGACGTGCAATCGTTTGAAAACCGCGTGAAGCTGATGGATCAGAGGAGAGGGTCGAAGATGGGGCGAGTCACCATCTACCGGAACCGCGCTCTCGGACACGAGCATTTGATGGAAGACTACTTCGCGGAGGTACATACATACCCTCCTCGTCTCTCCCGCATAAGGTACCAAATGCGGCGTAGTTTGTTTGTGAAGATTGTCACCGATTATGAGGCCGCCTCCTATTACTTTAAATGTCGTAGATCCGCCGCCGGTATCATGGGGTTTAGTGCATATCAAAAGATATCGGCGGCAATGCGGGTACTCGCTTATGGCATACCCGCGGATTATACCGACGAGTATCTTCGCATTGGGCAAGATACAACCACGGAGTCAGTCCGTAGGTTTGCCAAGTTGCTCATCCGGTTTTACGGTGAGCAGTATCATCGGGCACCAAACAAGGAAGATACAAAGAGATTAATGGAAATGAATGAAAAAAGGGGATGGCCGGGGATGATAGGTAGTCTCGAGTGCATGCATTGGAGGTGGAAAAATTGCCCAAAGGCATGGCACGGAATGTATTGCGGTAAAAGCCGTGATGCTACCATTGTGCTTGAGGCCGTAGCATCTCAGGACACATGGATTTGGCATGCATTCTTTGGGTTGCCGGGAACACTCAATGATATCAATATCCTCAATAGATCTCCTTTGTTCAAAAGATTAATTTCTGGGGATGCTCCACAATGCAACTACAAAATCATGGACAATGGGTACTCAATGGGATACTATCTCACCGATGGCATCTATCCCGAATGGGCAACTCTTGTGAAATCCATCAAGGAGAAAAATGGGGTGCCCTTAACAAGAAAAGAGGCTCATTTCACCAAGGCACAAGAGGCAGCACGCAAGGATACTGAGAGAGCTTTCGGTGTTTTGCAAGCAAGGTTTGCCATAGTTCGTGGTCCAGCTCGGTTTCGGGACAAAAAAACCTTGGTGAACATCATGAAATGTTGTGTGATTCTACACAACATGATCCTAGAGGATGAGAGAGGGTTAAACCTCCCTTGTTTCTATGACAATGTTGGTACCCGTGTGCAACCGGAAAGAAACCCTTCTCGCCTACACGCTTTTCTTCAAGCACATCGTAAGATTGAGGATGCAACCACTCATGGTCGGCTCCGGGATGATCTAGTAGAGCACCACTGGCAGTTGGATGGGCGGCGCATTGGCCCATGATGTATCTTTGTTTTACTTTTCTATGTCCTATTTGATTCGAACAATTAGTGTAATTTGCTCAAACATTGTTGTAATAATTTGAATGATTATTGTTTTATTCGGTGTTGTAATAATAACTAGAATGATTATTGTTTTATGTCAAATGTGATGGAATTTGTGATATGTCATATGATGAAATGTGATGAAATGTGTGATATATGAAATGACAGTTTAAAGGTTGGGGTTGAGGCAAAGACTAGAACCCTCAAATCCAACCCTTAAAGCAGTTTAAGCGTTGGGCTTGAGGGTTCTAGTCTTTGCCCCTGTTTTTCAACCCTTAAAAGTGTCAAAAACTGGCACTTCTTAACCCTTAAAACTGCTATAAGGGTTTGAGGGTTCTACTAGTAATGCTCTAAGAGCATCTCTAGCAGACCCCGCAACCCCTATCCGCATAAGCCGTTTACAGGTCGATGAAGATCTCATTTGCCAGTTGAAAACATGCGCGGCAGAACAGAAACCATATATGAAACTGCATAATATGAACCTCGAGGGCGGCGAGAGGCCCCGGTTCGTCCACTTCTTGGCCCCGCGCTTCCTCGCGTCGTTCGAGCGGACACGAGCTCGCGCTCAGGGTCACAACGACCGCCGGAGCCGCGGCCGAAGCTCCACATGGTGTTTCGAGGCGGTTGCGGCTCGCCGGCGGCGAGAAATGCGAGGGGGCAATGGGGAATCGCGGTGGAACGCGGCGGCGGAGGGATAGGGTTTCGACCCGTATCCTCCCTCGCAAACCCGTAGATATAGTGCTTCTGCTGGGCGATTTGCGGGCCGTGATAAAAAAATTTACGGGTCGGACGAGTATACGGGCTCTATTCTGGCCAGAAAATTGGGTGGAACCCGTATACTCGCCGGACTTATGCGGGTTTGCGAGATTTGCGAGGTCTGCTAGAGATGCTCTAATAAGAGCATCTTCAACCCTTACCAGCAAATTTGCTCTGGTATGCGCCCGTGGATGTTTCAATTTTTTTCAGGAGTGGATGTTTTGACTTAGCAGACGACATCATGCAAACCGGCTGATATTCATGAAAATTCGAAAGAAAAATGACATAAATCATTCATACATAATATGCAAGTACAACAATGTCTCAAATTCAATGTCCAACAAGTTTTCAACGGATCATGTCATCCCACACATACTGCCCTTCAGCTTCATCCAATAGTGTGTGTACGTAAATGGCCATTTCTCTGTCATGTGATACATCACGACAGTGCGCACGGGCTACACAATGTGAATAGCAACATCAAGTGAAAGAATGCTTCAATCGTCAAGTTGAGAAAGAAGAAGCAAAGCTTATGATCTCCTCCTCTGTCGCGTGCAATGGTCACCTTGCCTCCAACTGAGCAACTACATGACAAAACCTGGTGATGACGGTCTGGATGGTGTGCCATCAATACAATAATGACCTCACGTTGCGATCATAGATAATGTGCATGTCGTAGGGC